TTTTTTAAATGTTATGTTCCATTTAACTATTTTTTTTTTTTTTAATATTTCATTAGGTCTTGTGTAAGGTAATATGACCAACTCACTCTTCCAAACTTTTTGGGCGTGTTTTCATTTTAAAACCAACACACAATAAAAAAATAATAATAGTCGCTCATTTCATGGAGAAAATTTCTCCCTCATTCTAAGGAGAAAATCTCTCATTTATTTTATGAAAAAAAATCTCCCTTATTATAAGAAGCAAATCTCTCATTTATTTTATGGAAAAAATTTCTCCCTTATTTTAGGGAGAAAATTTCTTACATTCCTAAAACTCTAAATCATTTACCTTACTCTGATGTGAAGAAGCAAAGTTGTGAACATTCACATTGCCGATGGTTGCTTATATTTATATACAACCATTGACTTAATATGAATTGTGGCAAATAAATGTTAATGTGAACTTTCACATTGTAAATGCATGTTGGTAAAATAACACATTGTTGTTTGCAAGTCCACCATCATCTTTATTATCAGTCTACAACTAACATTCTCTTCTAAATGTTCTTCCATGACAGGACCGTAATGCAAAATAATGGTGAAGGAAGATCCTTAATTAAGTAAATCCCTCACATTGAGGTAAAGAAAATACTAAGAATAATAATATTCTATATTTTGTGGTTTAGCTACATGTAATTAGTAAGAGAGAGAATATCAATGGGCCAAACCACTAATTACAAGTTTAGTAGATATATTTTATTTGTGGTTTGATATTCAACTAAAATAGCTAACTAAGAATTGAATTTGATGAAGTGTGTTTTTATAGTTTTGTGCTATAAAATAGTCAAGAGAAGACTCTAATGAGTTTGGTAATGATACTCTAAATAGGTTTTTTTAATCAAAATTGGTTTAATTAGATCTTATTTTTTATTTTTTGATTCAGGTATTTTTAAAACGATTTTATGAAAATTTTGATTATCAACATCAGAGTTAACTATATCGAATCAAGATATATATACATATATATATATATATATATTTTATCTAAAAAAACTTGAAGAGTTAGAGATGTTCTTATAATTTTATTTTTGGTGTTCATAAAGCAATAATGGCCCTCTTATCTCTTACTTTCTCAATTCTCAATCCATAAGCACATTTCATTGCCGTAGTCTGTTGTCGCCAACCATCACCATTTTTCGTCGTTATCACTGTCACCCTTGTCCATCTCATTTGCTCCATGCCTTCAGGCTTCAACAATCACACAAATCTTCAAATCTTGAGGTGTGGGACCCGAAGAATTAATATACTTGAAAACGGCCAGTAGAGCATCAAAACCCATTCATAATGGACCAAATAGGACCAAAGCCTACGTGACTATGTCATTACCGAATAAATATTCGATTAAGCATAAAAATATTGGGGAACGTTGAACGGTGGATACCTGTTATAGCGATCTCGGTTTCTAACCCACTTTTATGGTGTATGGGACTCGGGTCATGTGGTTTCATGTTGTTGTTGTTTGTCTTTCCCTCATCTTACTCTTTGAATTTGAGTTTTGAATGTCTTGGGCGTGTTTAGAACATGTTAGTAATGAGTGGGTGCAAGTGGTTGTTGCTCAAAATTTTGGTCTTCCGCTCGAGCGGATCTTCTTGTGCTCGAGCGGAGTTTGCAATCACTCAGTATTTTGTGCGTTTGCAAAAATACTGCAAAATTGTTTTTCACGCTCAGGCGGAGTTTCTTGCGCTCAAGCGGGTCTGAGCTTGAGCAACCCTTCTTGCGCTCAAGCAGCTATCTGAAGTCTATAAAATACTGGAAGTGTGTATTCTACGCTCGAGTGGGTCTCTTTGCGCTCGAGCAGGTATTGCTTTGCTATTGTGTCTTAGAGCTCGAGCGGGTAGAATTTTTGTGTCTGATGCTTAAGCGTCGAACTATCAGCAGCTCGAGCGGACTGTGCGTATATCAGATCGCAAAAGTGACATTTTAAATCACTTTTTCTGTCATTTCTCTCTCTTGAACTTTCCAAAACCCTAAGTTGAGAGTCTCGCTCTCTAAAATACACTCTCTCTACATTTTGGCCTAGATCAAGTGATCTCCTCACCCTCTTTCCTTTATTAAAAAGCTTGGACTCTTCAAGATCTCCATTTTCATCTGAGTGAAAGTTGATTTCGGTATCTTTGGTGTTCATCTATTGCTTGGCTCATCTTTCATCTCTTTTTCTTGAGGTAGGGATATTCTACTCTTCTTTATGGGTTTTAACATAAATATTGGTCATTTTCGTATGAATGGTGGGATGTGGGGATTTTTGGGTGAAGTTGGGGTTTGAGATTGAAATGGTAAAAGAAGGGTTTTCCATTTTTGGGGTTCCATGTGTATGTGTGGCCTCAAAATGAAGTTATTGTGTATAATGGGTGAGATTTGGCCTTGGATGCAATATTTGAGAAAATGGGTAGAATGCCCTAATTTGCTTTATGTAAACTATTTGTGTAATTGATGAAATCAATGTAGAAATATGAAATTGGTTTGGAAAGTATGAAATTGGGGAGGATTATGGTTAAATGGTGTAGTTGGATTGATAAATCACTCACCTATGGAAAAGTTGATAATTTATCTATTTGATAAATTTATTTATCTGTTTAGAGATAACTGTTTTGGGGCTATCGGTAGAGGATAGTCTTGTTTGTTGTAGACACTGCATGACGATTAGGTAAATTGAAATTGATCAATTGAATTGTGTCATTGAATATGACGGTTGGATTAAAACGTTAAATATGTCAATTTGTTGGGTCATTTAATGCCAACATGTTTAATACATTGCATATATATCTTTATATAGGAGGAGATAGGGGATGTACTCCATTGTGTGAGACGAGATAGGGGATGGACTCCATTGATAACTAAGTTGACCGGAGTATCCTGGGTGCAAGTCCCGAAACCTTATTTATTTATGGGTGCCGGTTCCCTCGGACGTAGTTCTGTAAAATGGCAAGTTTTGTAAGTGATGAATGATGTTTGCTATTGAAGTGTTGATATATGAGTTGTAATCTCATTTTAAACTGTTTGGACAATATTGAACTATGTCAATGAATTAATTTGGATAAATAATGGGAAGTGGATGAATATGATGAAAATGTGAGTGGTAATGAAATCGTAAAAGTTGGTTTACAAGTGTTAAACATTTATCGAATGCTAATGTTTTAGTTAATTCTCATATGTTGTTCAGCCTATCTCTACTGGGCATTGGCTCACTCTACTTGGGACACCATTTTTAGGTACAGGAGACATGTCGCCTCCAAGGTCATAGCTTGGATGGTTTAGGGGCTAAAGGCTTCTTTTTGTTATTATATCTTTTGTGTTAAATGTAAATTCAAGCCAAGAGCTTTGTATGTAAAGAGTTAGGACTCTACTTTTGTTGTAACCAAGTGATGACTTGGAAAGCTGTAAACTGATAGGACATCCATTTTGTTGCTAACATGTAATATTTTTGTAAAGTAGACTCTGATGAATGAATATATATTGTTGCTCCTATGTCTATGGATTGTATGAATGGTTGATTTATGTAATATTTTGAGGGCATTACACCTGTGCCGAATATAAGAGCCGAATATATCGGGCTAGTCGGCATAGACCTGTTAAATGGGACCAAGATGTCCCTTTCAAGGAAGTATAGTAGAAAAATAGGCCCTGACAGAATAATGATGAAGGGTTAAGTTGCATGGAGTAAAGATCAAGGAGAGTGACTCCATAATAGGAGGAAAAAAGGGTAAGAAAAGGTGACCTTAAACCTCAAGAAACTAAAAAAAACACCAACCTCTCAACAGAGATTGACTTGTCCGTCGGAGTGCTAATTTTAACACCATCGTCCGGAGTTTTATTTCCATTTATGGTGACAGCAGAGAGGATTATTGAAGTGCTTGTTTGGATTAGAGGAGTATTTCATATCCATCTCCGCCTCCACCTCCACACATGAGGTATTTTATTTCTCTCTCAATCTTTATTTCATTTCAATTTCATAATGACTTTTTATAAAAAATTTCATGTAAAAATAAACATCAATTTTTTTTAAAATTTTAAATAATTATTTTTGCCTTCAAAAAATAAAAAATAAAAACTTTAATTTACCCCTAATGACATGACGATAATTTTTATATTTTAGTCCAGTGATGTGACTTTGGGGTCAAAATTGGTGGTCTAAAATATTTTCCTATTTGAAATTTCGAGAATCGTCGCCCCAAGGAAGAGAAGAAAAGAGAAGAGAGTACCCATCCATAAGAGCATTTCTAACGTTTACTTGTCTTTTTTTTTCCCATCAAATTTGAGTAAAAACTTCATCTGATACCAAGCGTTCTAACAAAATTTTTTTATTTTTCATCAAACCATCGATCGACTGGAAGGACGATCATGAAGATATCTAGCTAGTCGACCGATTAGTATAAATTTATAGGAAGTCTAAGCAAGGAATCGGATAACCGATTGGTTTAAATTTTCATTTTTCATCAAACCAATCGGCCAGTCGTCTTTCAATTTGATACTAATTTGATGTTAATATTGAAGCACCAAAACTATATGTTTTTTTATCAAATTTAAATTTGATGAAAAACAACTATTAATTAGTGCATTTGATTTCAACTTTCTAGATTCAATTTTTTAGAAATGAGTTTTTTATTTTTTTGTTTTTCGTGTTTTTTTTTTAATTTTTAGTGATTTTTTTTTTAAATTTTAAATAATTTTTTATATTTTTTTAGATGCACCTTACTTAGATGTATCTAAAAAGTAAAATATTTGTAAAAATTTAATAAATACACAAGAATATAAAAATGTATTGAATTATCATAATTTTTTTATTTTATATATTTTGGTATTTAACGATTTTTTTTTAAAAAAAATTCATAAATATTATATTTTAAGTATATTTATATTAAATATATTTAAAAATTAAAAAAATTAATTAAAATATTTATAAAAAAATCAATAAAAAAAATACGAAAAATAAAAAATTTAAATTTTGAAATTGAATTGTGAAAATCCAAACTAAACCAAGGAATACTACCCATCCATAGCAACCACAACTACCACTAGTGTTCTGATGATTCATTCCTTAATTCTGAATCTTCTGCAAATCAAGAAAACCGAGTGAGCTTGTTTGGTAATGTCGATGGGTAGCGATACGACTTGGGTGAGCAAGAAGCCTCTCAGACGCTTGGGAGGAATGTCCGATGCCCTCTCCATCGCCTCCGATCTTGGCTTCTCTCTCTCTCCTCCTCCTCCTCAGGTCCTCTCTTCTTCTTTTAATTTCTCTTTTTTGCATACAATTTGTCATTTTATCTTTTAATGTTCATAATTCTTTTTTTTTTTTTTGGGGGTCAGTTTTTGTTTACTTCGATTCGGATGATTTGATTGTCTGAAGTGTCTTCTGATTTTTGAATTTTTTGACATTTTCTGTTTAAGCCATCTTAGCTAATGAAATTTTGATCCAGTGTTTCAAAAAAAATTTTTTAATTACCTGTTACGAAGGGGTTTATTGAGACTTTGGCTTGATCTTGATGAGCAATAATCATTCATTTGACATTTTAATGTGGAATCCTGGTTTTTATTTTTATTTAAAAAAAAAAAAAATTTGACAATTAACATAAATTCACTGTTTTAGCATTGCAGTCCGTTTGGATTGGGTGATTAGGCAGGAGAGAAAATGTCAGAATTGGATAGTCTGTTTACTGGAAAGTATTTGTACTATTTTATATGTTATATTGAACAAATATTATATAAAGCAAGACAGTATCACTTGAGAAAAAATTTGATAGCATTTAGACATCTCCTCACAAATCTCAAACTTTGTTGGAGTGCTAAAGGCATGCATTGTAGAGCACAGATAGACGAGCTTGTCATCCGTCTTTCACTGTGTTTGGTTGGGGGATTTGGAAAGGGAAAAAGAAAAGGTATGTGAAATCAGATGAAATGTAAGTATATTTTATTCACGTTTCACCTTCTTTTTTTATTTTTCTTTCCAAATCATTTTCTAAATTCCCTAACCAAACACAGCGTTTGCTTACAATTGAGACTCGAGAGAAAGGGTTTTGTTTTCAACCTCACCTTATATGCACTAAAAAGTGGTCATGGACTTGTCGACATATAACATATGTTATACCTAGTGTAGGTATATGGACTCATCCCTGATATTTGGCTTCTCCTGATGATGCTGTGTTATTCACACATCATGGCCTCCTCCACAAACCTTGCATGCCATGTGTCCAATGGGCACGTGTACCAATGACTAGGATGAAACACTATGACTATGCTTGGTCTTGCTTGGCTTGTGTGGTCCGTCAGTAGCCCCACCAAGTGAGTCAAGCCTCAAGCAATTTGTCATTATAGGCCAACTTGATTGCTTCCACCTAGCTATATCTCCATCTGAAAGAACAAATGCTCCATCATTATGTGGGTTGGGAGTAGGGCCCTGATACTACTACTCTTGGAATCATTAGAAGACTTGTGAATTGAAAGCTAGAGTTCAAAGTTCTTCCAAGTGCTCGCTGAGCTCCTCCCGAGGGATGAGGCATGCTTGGACCAATTTAGACACATCAAATATTGTATCATACCTGCCATTGGATATTGGTCAAAGATCATTTTTCCAAGTGTTCGAGTATTTTTTTTCCCCCCATAATATTGTACCATTCATTCTTACAAGATGTGAGGAGGGAAAAAAAGAAACATTTGGATTATCAATTAGACACTCAAAAAAAAACTTACGAGAGAAGAACCCCAAAGAGTGAATGCACCAAATCCTCAAATCGGGGGAAGAGTTTGACAAGGATAAGAGAAGTTAAAGAAATTGAAATCCCAAGACATTGGGGCTGAAAAAGAGAGTCATAGAAGCAATTGACATTTTATGGTTTCTAGATAATTGATACAATCGTGGAAACATTTGAGCAAATGAAAATTTCCCCCTCCAAGAGGCATCCTAAAGTCTAATAAGTTTCCCATTACTCACGTTCAGCTAAATGAATTGAGAGAACCTGACCAGGCCCTGTGAAAATAAATTTCCAAGGAGAGTGTTAGGTTCATCACTCTACAATGACTGAGTCCCTCCTAATAGTTTGAAGCCCATATTTGCTTTTAATAACTACAAGTCGTAAAGATTCACTTTCCCTATGGAACCTCCACAACCACTTGCCAAGTAATGTAATATTTCTATCAATAATGTGGCATGCACTAAAACCTCCCTTACATTTTGGAAGGGAAGCTACACTCCAGCAAACTAAATGCTCCTTGCTGCCCTCACAACTTCCTTCCCAATTAATGTTGTTTTTAAGTTTTTGCACTTGTGTATGTCAAATCTTTTTTTTTTTTTTTTTTTCCTTTCTTTTTGGCCAAGGTATATTTAAATGTTTACATCATAAATAATGTATTATAATTAGATTTATTTTGAACAGTCTCGTCTTGAGGGACATTCGTTTGTTGCTGTGAAGTTTCTTCTTTTTTCTCGAATTATTAAGTTGTTTTTTAATATACTGTAAAATGCATGAGCATTTCATAGTTTATGCAAAGAAATATTTTAAATGAATGAACTGTTTAGCCTTCGTTTGGCATATTGGCTTTTTGGCTAAAATAGTTACAAAAAGACAAAATAGGCTAAAAAGCCAATAAGACAAAATGTCATATCCAAACCATAATCATTTCATTTTTTCTCTCACGAAAGTCAAAAAAGTCAAAAAGCCTATTCCAAACGAGGCTTCTTAGCCCCAGGCCAAAAAGTCAAAAAACAAAAAAGCCAACCTACATCCCAAACGAAGCCTTAGTGTTTCCAGGATAGTCAAGATCTCTGAATAGTTTCTTTGAATTCATTGTTTATTTTGTTTTCTATGATTAATATTTAGTTTTAGTTTATTACTAACTACAGGTTGAAGAGGTATATTTTTCGTTTGAATGAGTTACTATGTGCAGTCTTCATGTTCTTACACTAGTGGTTTTAATTGTTTGATTACTATAATGTGGAATATTGGAATTTTTGGTTGAGTTACTTTTCTTTGGTGTAGGAAGAGTTTCAAAACTTATCCGCTACTACTGCTGAAAAGGGTGATGACTTGATAAGGGTTTTAAGAGAACTTACCACTGTACAAAGAAAAATAGCAGATTTACAAGTGGAACTTCAAGGTCGCAAGGTGAACTGGTCAAGATTAATTTCCAACTTTCATTCATCTTTAGTTTTCTTGATCACTTTCAGCTCTTCTTTTTATATTGATATGATCTATGACCGTTTGCACACCTTCTAGGCGCTTAACATGCTGCATGAGCTCTTTTCCAAATATTAAACCTCCAATGAAAATGCTCTACCAAAAGCAGTGTTTTTAAAGGCTCAAGGCACACCAAGGCACTGAAGGTCTCTTGAGGCCTAGGTGCAAGGCGCAAGGCGAGGTGCGGGCTTTATTGAAGGCGCACAGTCTTAGTAAAAAATAGATACATTAACATAGACCAATGATTCATAGCATGTTAGTAGTAAGATAATTTAAAAATAAATAAATAAATAAATAAGATAGAAAAAAAAGAAAGAGAGAGAGCAGAGAAGAAGAAGAAAAAGAAGAACACAACACAGCATTAGAGAAGCAAAAAAAAAAAAAAAAACAAAGAGAGAACTAGTTTATGAACTGTCTAGAAGCAAAGAAAATGAAAACAATTAAAAAAATAGTTGATCCTAATAACTCCAGATTGACATTGTTTCATGAAACCAAAATCTCGCAAAAGGCGCAAGACGAGGTGCGGGCTTTATTGAAGGCGCACAGTCTTAGTAAAAAATAGATAAATTAACATAGACCAATGATTCATAGCATGTTAGTAGTAAGATAATTTAAAAATAAATAAATAAATAAGACAAATAGAAAAAAAAGAAAGAGAGAGAGCAGAGAAGAAGAAGAAAAAGAAGAACACAACACAGCATTAGAGAAGCAAAAAAAAAAAAAAAAGAAAGACAGGAAAAGAATACAAATACAACAACGAAGAAGAAGAGGAAGAAGAACGCAACCAGCCCAGCAACGAATAAGAAGGGGGGGGGGGAGAAACAGAGAGCAAGTCAAAGAAACACCAAGAAGAAGAGCCAGGCAGCGAAGAAAAAGAGAAGGAGAAGAGGAGCAGTGAAGAAGAGCAGAGAAGAAGAAGAAGAAGCAAAAGAAGAAGGACTCACCTAGTCTAGAGACGAGACTAGATGAGCCGAAGGGAAGAAGAGAGACACCGCAAGATTTCTTCTTTCTTTTGAATCGATTAGGGCATTTCGAATTGATTTGGGGTTGGTTATTGAGAAGTATAGCTCGGAGTTCTAATCCTTTGTGATTGGAGCCTTTAAAAACACGATATGAACCGTTAGATTCAATCAGTAAACAAAAAAAAAAGAAGTTGCAAATAGTCGCCCGACTTGCGCCTTTGTTCACCTGGCCAAGTCGCACAAAAGGCGCACGCCTTCTTCGACTCGCCTCGCCTTGGGTGGCTTCAGGCGCTGCACCTGCGCTTCATTGCACCTTGCGCCTTTCACAACACTGACCAAAAGTACATGATCTTAATTGTATTATGATCACGGCTTGAAGTCATATAGGGGAAGAATATGTTGGATGGTGGGGGAAAAGAAAGAATGTATCATGTGTGAACTTTATGGGAATGTTCCAAATTTCTTTTCCAATTTTCTGGTTGGCAATTACCGGCACTTAGGTGCATATATATTCACCACATACATCCAATAAAGTGTATGTGTGTGTCCTTGTGTATGTGAAGATTTCCTTTTGAACTAATACCTGCTGTCAATCTTCCCAAGTTTCATGAATATCTCCCTTCATAAAGATTTTTAAGATAAACTTAAATGTCAGATATCTTTTGGATGGATGGATGTATCACATATGCCACATGCAGTGGATCTTCATTTCTTTATGGTCTGTGGAGTGTGAATCTTGGATACCATTCACCATATTGTTTTCAAACAAGTGTCTATTATTGTTATTTATTATTATGCCCATGGAGAATCATGTTTGTTCACTGACCCCATTTCCTGGGTTTTATATTTACACTGCTATTTAAGGTGGGGTTGTAACCATAGAAAGTAGGTCACAATTTGAGACTTGTGCGTAGCACCTTATGCAAATATCCGTAAGATGTTTTTGTATCTTCATTGCACTCTAAACTTCTGAATTTGATCTTGCCATGTTTCATTTAAACTTTGGCATTGATTTATCTTGTTTACATGATTGGGAACTTTTAGGAGGACAAGAATGTAGCACATTTGACACATGTGAGTGAAATGGAAAAGAAGATTGAGACTTTGGCAAGAATTACGATTATATTGAAGGATGTCATTCAGAACAAGGTAATTTATTTTATTCTAATCTTTGCCCATCTCTGCATCTTTGATTGTTATGTGCCTTAGGTTGGGATTCAATGACTTTGTATCAGATCGTTATGTGTCATTTCTTGTTATCACAAATACTAGGCATGTACTCATAAATGCATGCAAAAACACCACACTAATTTTGTTCCCTTGATTGTAGAAATAAGAAGGCATTAATTGATGGACTTATCATGCTGCAAATTATCAAGTGGTCTAGTCTGTAGGGTTCATTGAGTACCTTGTTTTTATGCTCTAGGTTAGTTATGCTGTTTCAGGCAGTGTCATCTGAGTTTTTCACATGATTGAACTCTTTTGGGAACAAAGGATAAGCTGTCCTTTTGTACATAAGATCTATGCACGGGTGAATGTTTTTTTTTTTTTTTTTTTCAGCCTGCTCGGGTGAATTGTTTTTTTTTTTTTTTTTTGATCGGCAAAAGTTAGTTGTTAGTTGTTAGTTGTTAGTTGTTAGTTGTTAGATTAGCACCTATCGGAGTTAGCCTCCCCACCTTTTGCAAAGCACAAAGTGTTTGCCTCCTTAATTCAACTCCCCCTAAGGAGAGTTGAACCCATGACCTCCCCCTAGGGACTAAGCCCTTAGGAAAGTTTTTAAAGCTGCCACTACCTCAATAACAATAAGCGGAAAAAGAAGAATTGCCACAAGAACATTAAAACTTTTCAAGCACAAAGAATTCAAGGACTCTAACAAGGACATGTTGCTTGCTTACTTAGAAGTCTATATTCCATTGCATGTTGAGATATTTTATCACTCTTTTTCCTATGACAAAGCTATGGAGGTTCCACACCTTCTAAATGTTTAGGATCTGCTGATTTAGTTTTGGATCCCAAGCATATAGCTGCTGCTTAAAGTTTTGCATTTTTTGGTATTTTATTGAGATTGCTGGGTTTTTTATTTTTATTTTTTGGTCCTAAGGAGTCTATTATCTGGTAATCCCCAGAGTCTGTGCACACATGCAAACAATAGAGGGACAGGGATAATTTTGTATTCTGAGGTATTTCTGTGGAAACTCAAAAGAATTATGAAAGAGATTGAAAAAGTTTTTTTTTTTTTTTCCGAAATCACTTCTCTTGCAAATAAGAAACTTTGAATTAGGCTCCAAGGACTAGTTTCTTTATCTTCCCTCATTCCTTTTGGCAACACAATGAAATGACTTGAGTATTCTGTATTGTACACTTACCTCATTGACATTCCATCTGTCTTGGCAGGACCGCATTATAGCTCGTCTTCAACAACCATATTCACTAGATTGCATCCCCGTGGAAGCAGAGTTTCAGGTTGGTCAATGATAAATTTAATTTGTTCTCATATTATTTTTGGATAATTTCTGTTCTGTAATCAAATGTATGCCAATTCTTCTTTCTGTCTTTCTTTGGTAGGAAATTCTTTTATGGTTGTAGCATTTTCAGATTGGTTAAGATTTTAGAGTAGGTAAGTTTTAGTCCCAGTATTATACAACATGAAATACCAGGTTCTGAGGAAGTAGGATTCTATCTCTTCTAGATGATCTTGACTTCATGAGCAGGGTACTGTAGAAAATTGAAGTCCTTGATATGGATCAATCAGCAGTATAGGTTGTTTGCTTTTAGTTAGCAAAGATGGCTCTGTCCTATCTTTAGCCAATGCCTTAAAGAAGATATTCCTCATGCAATTAGAGAAATACGTATTATATGGTGTTTGTATAATTTGTCCAATCGTTATACTCTGCTTCAGAGGTCAAATTACCCACTAGTCCTGGTTACCTGTTTTCCATTATGTCACAAATGTTTCCATTAACTTCTTGAAAATTTCCAAGAGAATGTACTTATGAATTGTGATGCATGTATTGCATGGCAATCTATCCAATAAGGTGATTTCCTATTGTAAAATTTTTAGTTCAGCAAAATTTTATGATAACAGTTTGACCAACTAGTTTTTAATTTAAACTGATTTGGATAAAATTTGTTGTTTTCCCACACTTCTGAATTTTCATTATTGGAAAAGACGAAGAAAAAGTTTAGAAACAGAGTTCACATTTTCATTTTAAATGTGTCACCAGACTTAATGAAACCATTGAATTGTTGAGGTTGTTTATGTAAGATAGCTTGATATACATTGTTAGGCCCATTTCCTAGTAGTTTAGGCTTTTGGGAAAATTGGTGACTTAATAGTTTATTCATAGCTAAGATGTATGGACAGTTCTAAGAAGGTGCAATGACCATGTCAGACATCGACACTCGTCTAAGACTCCAACAGCAACATGTGTTGGACAGATCCAAACGAGTCCTATTATTAAATGAAAATTTTTTAGACTTGGACTTTGGGGGCACAATGTCCATCACTTAGACACACAAGAAACACAACACAAGTTTGAAAAAAAAAAAAACTTGGAATCTAATGATAAAAGAAAAACAATATAGATTTTATACATATTAATCCTTGGGCATAATTACACGGACTTGTCTTCCCTTGTCAAGAGTTGTCGGCCCAATGGCATTAACGTTGCCATTGAAATAACAAAAATACCCTTCCATAATAAAGTGACCAAAAAAACTAAAATAAACACTCCTCTCTTACCATGACATCACCTCACACAACTGTATCCTCCCTATCTTCAAAGCTCACACTCCTTTCTCTAAACTTCACCCTTTCTGCAAATCCCGCTCAACAAAGCTAGTCAACCATCACCTAACTCCACGCATCACCCCCACCAGCCCCAACAACTACCCATCGCTGCCACCACCAAACCCATTGCCTTTACTGCCTATCTACCTCCTTGTGGTAGCCCCTTTATTGCCATTATGGTTGTTGTTAAAATCCACCTACTCTCCACCTACTTCACCCACTTAAACCTACTAATACAATTCTCTATTTCTCTTTATACATTAAATTTTCTACAGTTGTGAACCACCCATTCCCATCCCCCAAACCCTCCCACCATCCAGGCTTCCCTAATTGGCCATTTGCTAATTTGTCAATCCGTTCACTATTTTAATAATCATTATCAAACTATACAAAAAAAAGTCCAAGATTCCATTTTTTTCTACTTTTTGCACATTTTCGTAAAAAGCCAAAAAATCATCCCAAACATACTATTTTTTTTTACCACATATTTTAGCTCAAAAGCCAAAATGTTACTAAAATAGCATGTTCCCAAACGAGGCCTTGTAGTCAAAGTTTACGGTGATCAACAAAATTTGATTTAGCCGATTAATTGGACTGTTTTTACAGAGTGCTTTGTTTACAAAATTTGTATATATGCATATATGTGTGTGTGTGTGTGTGTATCCAAATCAGATTCAATTATTTATCTTTACAAATCAGACGCAATATACATATCCTTGCTTTGTTCTTATTTTATTTTGCTTTATTTATATATATATATATATATATCCCCATTAGAACTGCTTTATTGTGGCGGTGGATGATTGGGCATTTTTCCTTGCTGTCATTAGTTTTTCCTGAGAGCTTAACTAGGTGGTGGTGGTGGGTTTTTAATAGTGGTGGAGGTAATGGGTGGTGGGTGTTTAATTTTAAGAATAATATTATGGTGGGATGTTTGGTTGTACTGATAAGGAATTGAGTATGGAAACAAACGTATTTTTGGTATTTAGAGATTGAATTTTATTGACATAAGAAATTTTGGTTACAATCTATAATGGTTATATAACGGAGGTGAGATCCATGCATATTGTGAGTAAAAAGTAAGGGATGGCAACGTAATTTAAAAAATCACAGGGGAGGCCTATGTAAGGAAAATTTTATTCATACACACCATATAAAATCATATTACACGCTAATTATGCTGTTCAGATATAAACTTTTGAACAAGAGTCAAATGTTCGGACATAAACTTTAAAACAAAGGATAGTTGTTTAGAATCCAAATATAAACTATTGAATGGAATGTATATCTAAACAATTCATTTTTGTTCCGAAGTTTATGTCCGAACATTTGACTTTTCTTTGGAACTTTATATTCGAAAAATACAAATGGTGTATATTGAGATTTTCTATGGCTTGCAAATAGAATTATCTTCCGTGTTATTAGCCCTAATCCTTGCTCTTTTAGATTTTAGGAATTAGCGTTATAACATTTGTATTTTCTTTAAATGAAATATCCATATTTATGACATATAATAAATATACAAATTATATATTTTTTGGGCATGACTCCCATGTGTTGTGCATTAAATTTGTTGAAAATTACCGTATCAGCATGTCCGTCTCTTGTCGCATGTCTGTGCTACTTGGATTCAAAATTAAGAAATTCATATGTGCCTCGAAACTGATTCTTTAACTTTCAAAGTCTCTGCATTTTTAGTCAAAATAAATCTTTCTGGAGGCTGTTTATTGGTTGTCAGAGTTCATTTTATCATTACAAATTGCATTCTTATGCCATGTGTTGCTTGGGTGTGCAGAAACAATTTTCAGAATTACTAATGAAGGCTGCAAGTGATTATGGAGCCTTGACTGCATCTGTTGCAGATTTCCAGTGGAGTCAAAACTTCAAGGAACCACCTTCTGTATGGGGGGTAAGTTTATAGGAATGTTGAATTTGGATAGGGGTTTGAAAATGGAAAGGAAAATTAAGGAATTTTAGTTTATATTTCATTCACATTTCTGTCAAATTTTCCTTTCCATTTTCGAATCTCTATCCAAATCCATAATCCAAACACAGCCTTATTATTATCATAGTTGAGAATGCACATTGCATTCTCTTTTGTGCTCTAAGAGCATTTCTTTTAGCGTATTCTAGGTCAGTTATTATGTTAGAAATAATATGAAATTGTGTTCCACTATGGTTTGACACCCCCTAACCCCCGGGAGTCTCTTTTATTGTCCATCAGATTCACCCTGATATGGATTACGAATTTTTTGACTCTGATTTCAATTTTTTGTATTTGTATTTGTACTTGTGCTTGTACTCTTGGGAACATGAGAGAGTGTCTGGAAACCTCATGAAATTCCACTTTAATTTTAACATAGCCTGTGGAGGTTGTCATTTTTAGGATGATCTCTTAGTCTAAAAGAACTCAATTATGAAAACAGTACTTGTGTTAAAAATTTTCATGCCATGTTCTCTATCCCAAAAAATAAAAATAAATCTGAAACTGTCTTTCTTCCTGCTGTTTTTAAACTATCACGGCCTTGTGGGGTGGCTATGTAAAACATGACTTGTTCAAACTCCAGAAGCATTCATCAAACTAGTGGTTTGTTTCCTATTTTTCCCCAAATATGAATATGTTCACCATTTCTTAATTTTTTGAGAGAATTCATAGATTTTATGATACAAATTTATTCGACATGCCCTTTTAAAAGGATGGAATATGTTCCTATTTACTACCATGTGGTTTCCAAGTGCTCCTTTCTTTATGATTGCACAGTATGAGGAAATTGTCTTCTCCTTTAACTGAGTTGGAATATTTGTTAATAAAGGCCATGTTTGGATCATGGATTGGGTAGGGATTTGGAAAAGGAAAAGAAAAGGCAAGGGAAATAGAGAAAATTTAGCTTATATTTCATTCGCATTTCCCTCACATTTTTCTTTCTTTTTTTAAATGCTACCAAATTCATGATCCAAACACAGCCTAAACAGGTGGTTTTCCTGCAAGATCCAACCTTGACCTCGGTGTTTAAATGCTGTAGGAAATGCTCCGTCCAATTCCTGTGGCTTTAGCATCTTGTACCCGATTCTTTGAAGCCATGTCTGCAATGAGGGAATCGTTTGCTACACTTCAAAATTTGAGAGTGGGTCATTCCTCTTCTTCCTTGCATGCAACACCAGTCAAGGATTCTTCTCAAACAACACTAGGGGATTCTGAATGCGTGACCCCACCTCCTTGGAGGAGTGAGTCGGACGATTTAACTCTCAGAACTCTCAGTGGTCCAAAAGCAGAAGATGAACATGGTGAAGTAGGCGACACTCATCAAGTTGATGGCACGAGCCACAGGAGATTGTCCTGGCCTCCAGTAAAAAAGAGTGGATTATAACAAGGTTTTTTCTCTTTTAATTGCATATGTGTGCAAGATTTTCATTATGGTGTGATTCTTTCTGCTCTTCCTTTTGCAGCCTTGATGAAGCTGAAGAGAGCTTTGAATGAAGTTTTCGAAGAATTTGGAGAGCACACTTCATATTTTTTTTTCTTCATTAAAATGGGAAAATATTTGCAATTTTTATTTTTATTTTTTTGTATTGACATATTCTGTTTTTAGGGTTCTTCTTCTTCTTCTTCTTCTTCTTCTTCTTCTTCTTCTTCTTCATTATTAATTTATTTATTTATTTTTAATGGAAAATTGAAAAATGAATACTCACTCACATTATGGTATATATTTTGAAAATGGTGATGGATAATAGGCTTGCTTTGAACAAAAGTCAAAAAGATCATTAATTATGATTAGTCTTTTTTTTTTTTTTTTTAACTCCTCTGACGGAGATAGTTAGCAACAGTTAAGAATTAGTGGCGTTTTAAAAAATGTTTGAAGTCTTTAGTGGTGTTTTTAAAACGCTACAAAGATACGATGATCACATCAGTGACGAATTTTGTAAACGTCGTCATATCTTTTTGCGGCATTTCAAAAATGCTGCCAATTCCTGATTTTCTTAGTGTTAGCTGAACAAAAGTACAATCTCTCAAAAGTTTACTAATCACCAATCGGTGGCCACAATCAGTAGGCCCAGGCCACCGGCTGTAGTGGTCAGTAACGTTGTGTAAATGTCTTTTGGTGCATAAAGGCATATTCTAAGGGGAATGAGTTCTCCACAATCTAAAAATAAACTGGATTGTCCAGTCCAATATAACTAAACAAATTGTGACACATCATTATTTTGGCCATTTCACAACACAGAACATGCCAAATAGGCACAAAAAAAACATGGTTCATGCTCAACTTGATGGTCATCTCCATTCTTACAGTGACTATCATCATCTATTCCCACTCACCTATGTGATGACCATTGTCGCTGTCGTTGTCCATTACCCACTCACGCACAACCAATGACATCGCTTCCCCATCTTTTCCTATTGCAACTCAAAGTTCCCACCCCTTCTCTAGCCTACCATAGCAACCACCATCTTGACCAGATATGATCACCACCTTGGGTAGTAACCCAATCTAAGTACAAGTTGAGGCAAACACATACACAGATCTACTATCCCTCTATGATGATGGATCTATGGTGAGAGAAAAAATTCCATTGCTACAGTTATACCGTTATCAGAATTGACATGTAATGTTATCATCTAATCATATCCTATGTAAGCATAATGTACTTCACTATGCAGATGTATTATAGTGGGTTGAGTTAGGTCGGGCGAACACCTTATTTGTGTTTTGATATTGGATAATGATATCAAGCATCAAATTCCTGAAGTTTTACTTCTGTGGTTGATGATTTTGTGAGCTAGCAAATTCCTGGATGATTCATTTGGGAAGGTTGTGATAGTAATGAAACAGTGATGAGTGAGCGGAAGGGGGTTGTCATCTAAGGTAGGGTGGGGAAGCAGATCTACATCGAGGTAAGGAAGGAGAGAGGAAGCAATAGTCTCATATGGGGGGAAAGAGAAAAGGACCTGCAACGATGAAGGAATGGAGGGAGTGGCAATTGCAGGGTGAGGGTCAGATAGGGCGAAAAAGAAGGGAGGGGAGGGGAGGGGAGATTCAGATCACAAGTGACAGAGGGGGGGACCTAGGGGAGGGTGCTCTAGGCATATGACGTTCTTTCCAACTAAAGATGACAATGTTTTTCGCTTCTGCAATTTAGATGAATACGTTGCACGATCCAAGCCATGAAATGGATAGTTTGATTGGACTAGACCATCCAGTTTATTTGTGAATGGCAGAGAAGCCATTCCTATTTGAACATAGAAGTTCAAGTATAGCCATTATATTTTTTCACTAAAAACTAGAACATGCTTTTAAGTTTTGATCTATTACTCAATCCAAATCATTAGCAATGGCAACATGATTTTATTCATTTCCCTTTTTCTTTCTTACATTCTGCTTTTTGAAAATTAAAATTGTACCCATAGAGAGAGAGAGAGAGAGAGAGAGAGATTGAACTCTCTTTTTTTCTTTATTTATTTGTTTTTATTTTTTATTTTTTGTACATCGAAAGAACATCAAATAGTGATTGGCATCCTATCATGAGACTCAAATCCATACTAAAGGTATGGAAAAGGGTTGCCTCAGCCACCCATAGTCTCGATTTCGTTCTTTTTTATAATAGAAGAATCAACCATAATTATTGCAAAAGAGAAACATCACAAAGACTCTCAATGCATGAACTAAATAGAAAATACAAGTACATACTCAAATTTATGATCTTTGGAATATTAACATGTTGAAGGAATATCTCAAACAGTAAGCTTTCCATACATCCAAGTCATTGAAGCAATGCCACACCCCTTGCTAGTTGTTGTTGATACCCTTCTTTCCTTGTTTCCTATGAAAGGAACCAAAATCTGCAAAGCAAAGCAGAAGAAAAAGAAGAATAAAGAAACCTTGGAACAAAAGAAGCCTTTCCTCCATTAAACACGGCTAATAATGTATCTTTCTCATATGTAACTTTAATCTGCATGCACTCTTCTCCTTTATTCAGATTCACCTCTCCATACTTGACTCAAATAGAGAGAGAGAGAGAGAGAGTTCTTAGCTATAAGAATTCTCCCATCTCTTCCTGTTTCTTCACAACCACCTGATCTTTGAGAGTTATATCAAAATTGCTAAAATGGCAAAGTACATTGGCCCAATTGTTTGCCTCCTGATCATGATCATGGACGTCGTGGCGGGCATACTTGGCATTGAAGCTGAGATAGCTCAGAACAAGGTATGTTGGCAAACGGAAACTCATAATCCTGTAGTTTTAGTTGTATCAATTTTGTCCTTTAATTCTTCACATTGTGTCAATTTAGTCTAATTGATAACATCCGTTAAAAAATAGGACAGAAAATAAGGGCAGAATAGTCCATTCAAAAGGGAATGAATCATGTCACATTTGATGAAAATCTCTCAATCACTTTAAAAAGAGTATATAAAATATTTTATAATTTCATTTCAACTCAAATTTTAAAGAGACATCATCATTGTCAGTTGGATTAAATTCGCAGAATGTGAAAAATTAAAGATACAATTGGTGTAGTTAAAACTATAGGGACCAAAATAATAGAAGAGACAAATTACAGGGACTATGAGTGTAATTTGCGAATGAAAATATGTAACGTAAGTAAATGGTTTGATGTTGGGCATGCAGGTGAAGCATTTGAGGGTGTGGATATTTGAGTGCAGAGATCCAAGCTATCAAGCATTCAAGCTAGGGTTAGCTGCAGCAGTACTTTTGGCCCTAGCCCACACCATTGCTAACTTGCTAGGTGGGTGCGTCTGCATTTGGTCCAAGGAAGAGCTTCACAATGCATCTGCCAACAAGCAATTAGCAGCTGCCTCCCTCATTTTGTCATGGTACGTTTATTCAAATACTAAGAAAAATAATATTTGTCATCTATGAAATTTTCAAAAAAAAAAAAAAAAAAAATTCTCTCTTGAATCAAATAACAAACATTATCTGTGCGTGCATATAGGATTCTTGAGCCAGTATGAATTGGGGGACCCCAATCCCACTTGTTCCTACTTAGTGAACATTGCCCTTACAATTGCAGTTGTGCTATAAATATAGAAGATTTTTACAGAATGTGACATAGATATGAGTTAAAAGGGTGGTTCCACATATGGTTATTTTGTTTCACATTTGTGTCCCATTCTGTAAAAATCTTACGTGCACTTGGATTTACTTATGCAATTGACATGGCCTCCATTAGCTTTATAACATACAATTTCCAACATGACAAATGATTTGTAACTCCAACACTAATAGGCGAGAGTGCACTCCAACAACACTCTCCACTCCTAAAATTGATTTATCTTGTCTCCAAACTCTCCAAATGTAACTAGTGCATAGAGGATGAACCAAAATACCCACATACCGCCTATCTTGTTAGAACTCTGTTTTGTGATAAGGTTAGGCAAAATGCCTAAAATGCTCTAAATGCCTCCCCTAGTGGAGATGCTCTACAAAAACTTAATTCTCATTAATATGTAATGAGATTATGGAGTAAAAGAAAAGGGAAAGAAGAAGTGCAACATAATGAAGAAAAGAAAATTTATATGATAAGATATTAATAAAAATAGGTCATTTCTTTTCTTTCATTTTTTCTTTTTTAAATAAAGGTATATCTCTATAATAATACATATAATTAGAGTAGAGCAAGAAGAAGTGGGTTTACCCTTCTCCCACCTCCACCCCAAATTAATTGAGTTTTCTACTTCCACATCAAACCCAATTACCCTATTAAAATTTTAAAATAAAATAAAGCAATTACATTCCATTATGGTGGGGCAACCGCCGGGCCAAGGGTTATGGGATCAACATATTTATTTTTTTTGAATATGGTAAATTTTATATGTAAACATTATGTTTGCAAAAATAACTTGGACCCCCAGTGGGGGTGACCCCAGCACCCCCACTGTTTTTTGATTGGCTCAAAATTTTTTATTTTTTATTTTCCTGTCTTGCTCTCACAACCCCCCACGTAGGGACGATTGGCTCAAAATTTTTTTTTTTTTTTTTTTTTTTTCTTCCTGTCTTGCTCTCACAGCCCTTCACGTGGAGACGGGGGTACTGGGGTCCCCAGCATTATTGATATGTTTATTGTTTGGATCCGGATAGGACTTAAAATCCATGTATAGCATCCCTCTAAACATAACAATTCATGAAAGATTGTATTCTCACACTGACTTTTTTGTGATGAAATATAGGATTATATTGGTAGTTGGATTCTCATTGCTGATAATAGGGGCAATGGCAAACTCAAAATCAAGAAAATCATGTGGGATATCACACCATCGTTTTCTGTCGATAGGAGGGATCTTGTGCTTCATCCATGGCCTGTTCTCTGTTTCCTATTATGTTTCAGCCATTGCCACTGTTCAAGATCAACATAAGATGAATCCTCATCATCCTCATCCTCATCCTCACTCACAAGGAGGAGGCCATGCTTGATTCTCTCTCTCTCTTTCTCTCTCATCGCTTCTTTTTTTGCTTTCCATCTCTCTAATTCAAACACCAATATATGCATGTGATAGTTTGTATTCTTTTTTCCTACCCAGGAATTTGTGTCTGTTTTTCTTTCATTTATTTATTTTTATGCACCAATGTAACAAAAACCTGTATGATGATTGTTTGAGACTTGTTTTATTAGCATCTTGTTGCAAGTTAAACTTCTGGAAAATTCTATGACACACCCCCTTAAAAATTGTGTCCCGTATTCTAGTTACAAAAATGTGACGAACCATGAAAATGCATCTTAAATTTTATCTTGAAAGTGAATGTGTAGTGTAGATTTAAAGTTAGTGAGATGTATGCCTACACCCACAATGATCATAAACTATTGATTCTTTTTTCTAAGTAATTTTCTAAATAAATTTTCTAAGTTTATAGTATTGCTGATTCTAGTTATGAAACAATATGGTCTTATTTATAAATAATGTAGTATTTAATTGAGATTTTGTTCTTATCAAATTTGTAGTGAACTCGGTGGGTTATGAAACTTTATGGTGGTGGATTATGAGTCAAAGTGATCTTGATTATATGGGATTTATGGTGTTTATTTTTATTTTTTTGTTTTTTGTCATGAACCACATTGGTCTTAATCATGAGATTTTATGATTTTTAATTATGACCCAAACTGGTTTGATCATGAAATTTTCTGACTTTTTATTAGAAACTAAAATGGTCTTAACTTCCTTTAGGAAATTTTATCATGAAATTTTTTAGTATTTTGGTTATAACTTTAGGAACAAATTATTTAAGTAATTTTTTAATTAAAATATGAGATAAAAAATATTATATTTAAGATGATATTTTAACTTTTTATAAAAAAATATATATATATATATATGTAAGAAATTTTAAAAAACAAATTAATTTTTTAATATAATTTATTCCCTTTTTAATTTTTTTAATAACTTTTAAACGTTTAAACTAAAATCAAGAGCTACTAAACAAGATCATGATTATGATTCAAATTTACTAGTTTTGAGTAAGCGTGGCTATATACAAAAGAGTTTAATAACACTTCAAGAAATTTTAGAGTGATTTATAAATATAAAATTTATATAAAAAAACACATTTAAAATTACGTGTTAATAATATTTATGAAATTATAAAAACAATAACAGATGTTTTGAGTGAAATAAAAATTCTATATAAAAACTATGTACAAAATATTCCGTGCGTATAAAATTACTTTTTGATTATTGAACCAACTGTTTGTTTGAGGGGAAATTCTATGATATAATTTTTTTTAAAAGTGTATTGTATAACTAAATCACTTTTAATTATAATAAGAAGCACCACAATGGATCATAAAAATGTCATTTCAGACATAACTAAAATAATAATCACAATATGTTATAATCAATGTCACAATATATTGTAAAAAAATAAAATAAATAAATAAACTTGAGTTTGACAATATCATAACTACACATTACTTAACTCATAACTAGGTGTATTATAAAATTTCCCTAAAATAGAGTGAAAATGTGTTTCTTAAACTTTTTTACTAGAATCAAAGTGCAACAGATTAACGTTGTGCACGGTCTAAAATCTTCGAGGTCTTTAAGCTAAATATCAAAAGGTTTTATCTTACTAATCTTTTGAAAAATTAGGGCTTAGAGAAATAAGATTTTATTTATTTTTTAAAATTTTCTAGAAGACCTTAGACGATATGCTAAGTGATCTAATAATTAGGTCACCCTAAGCATATTTTTATCAGAGGCACTACAAACCCAGTCTTTTTATCCAGAATTACCGATTAATAATTTAGATTTAGTCTACACATAAATTCACCCAAGACCAATTAATTTCCACCACCCAATTACACTCTAGACAAATTTTGGGTTAATTTTTTCTGCGCAATTAGACTTACTCTTACTGTATTTTTATACAAACAGTTATCTGATGATTTCAGAAACTAACTGCAACATTCTTCAACTACTACAATTATCCCTAAATAAAGATATAGTGCCAACCAGAGCATTTTTGGTTGAACAAACTCAGGTACAATGGTGACATTATCTAGTGTCACCAAACTACAAAGCTTCAATCTTTTCCCACCAAAAGCAAAGTCTTACAAGAAATCAAAATGATTTACACAACAGTTCAACTGCCTACGAAACAAACTTTTTGGTGTTCATCTAAGATAATACCCTATCAAAGAGTTTCCTTAATTCCCCCAAACAGCTCCAAATAGTCAAAAGAAGCTACAAACTTTGCTACAGTAACGGGGTCAAACAGCGTACAAGGATCGTCTGGGATATTGGGTTCTGTAATCATGTTTCGAAGCATCTAGGCTAAATTATGAACAATATCACACAAACAGAAACACCAGGATCATGTAATCTCAATAGCCCAAATGATATCCAAAGAGAGTGGGGAAAAAGAACAGCTCAGCTAGTAATACTACCCAACCAAATTTAAGTTCGCCATCTCATCAACCAAACAATGCATTAGAGCTTATACTTTCCAAACAAATTTAAGAAAATAAATAAATACATTGTAAACTCTATCAAACATCAGTCAAACTGTTATTTCAATTTCATATCATACTACAAAAGAATACCACAAGGAAACGTTAATCAAAACAACTCTTAAACCAGCCCACAACGAAAACTGACATTGTTAACTACACTCCCACAAACAAAGATTCAACTTCTCCATATAAATAAGATATTTCTCTTCATTTTCCATCACAAAATTGAATTAGGAAATATAAATTTCCATAAACAAAGACTGACCAGAACAAAATTTATATCATGCCATATACATGAAAACTAACACACTACTAGAAAAAAGTAACGCATCAGTCGCAAATACACTTGATGAGTACATATATGAAAAAACAAAATTTAAAATATGATCACAAGACAGTCACTACTAACCAAGAGCATTTAGAGACAAGTCGTATTATATCATTTCATTTGTCAACCTCAACTCAAGGCCAACCCAAAGCAGAAACATAATATGCTTTGTCCACAACCAAAATGCACCATCTAAGGAAAGGAAACCGGTTCAACCGGAGTGTAGGAAAAAAACACAAAAAAATTAAGCCTGATTTGCATGCTCCACCAACCATTAGCCATGCTGCACGAACTCTTTTAAATTTGTGAAGTGTATGTGTTAGACATTTGACAATAGGGTTAAGAGATGTGTATTTGATATGTCTTGTTGGAGATGCACCCAATGTATAAGTAGTTTCCTCGGAGGCAGCGCTAGGATTCATATTTCTAACTAAAGGGGGGGGCATTGGGTAAGTCCAAGCGGTTGGTCACAAGTTTAAACGACTTAAATAATTACTAAAATATATAAATTACTATTAAAGAAAAGCTAACAGAAAATGAGAACACTCTAAATGTGTTCGAACATGTTGAATTTCAACGACTCACTATTAGAAAATGTAATCAGAATTAATATAACAAAATTCACCTAACACAAGAATTACATATCGCAATGTGTACACACATTTTTTAAGTGATCTCATACTAATGAGAGAATGGAGGGCAAATAGTTTAGTGAAGGGAAAAACTATGGCACACACTCCTAAGATGTGTATACCATATGCCCTTTAGAAACTACAAAACAATGACACATCATAAAACTACAATAGTTTATAACTTTTCTCACCATAATAGCTCGAAACATTTTAATACTTATAGCATAATCACAATGGTTGGTAACTAAGATTTTTCTTGTGGTGATCCTCTTCGTAATATAATCATGGAACGTAACTAACACCACAAAAATTCATTACCTTTTTATGGTTAGAGAATGTGTATTGCCTTTCCCATAAATAAAGATGGGAAGACTAAAAAGGGAAAAAAAGAAAACACGAGAAACAAATTGAGTAAAATAAAGAAACTAAATAAAGGAAAGAGAAATAATTAATTATTTTAAGGGGGAAACAAATTTGAAGGCCCATGTGTAATTTGAATATGGTATATGAGTATAATTCAAATATGGAAAATACAATTAAATTACACAAACTTCATATATGCTATACAAATATAGAAGGCTGCTTGAGATTGATTATCAGATTAGTAGTGTCCTCTATAAAAATTATGAAAATTACTCCACCCATGTCAACAAATATGAAAATTACAAAAATATCCCTAACCTAAAAATATTAGAAAACATAAAAATAATTACAAATAAAACTCCAATAATAGAAACATGATTATGTATGGTTCCTATTGGTTTCTCCTTAAAATCATGGCAATTTCCAAATATCGCCATTTCTTTGAATTTATTCTTCCTTGAATGTCTTAAACTCTGCATCATTGCACTTTACTATCCTATGCATTGATATATTTTAATGGAAAGGGAAACAAGAAAGCATAGATATTCAATTCTATTCTATGCATTGATGATATCTTCATTTCCTCATGTTCCTATTTGAAATTAATTATCAGATTAGTGTTGCCCATTTTGCATTAACTAAATATACATGAGTTATGACTTTTTGAGACATAATGGTATACAAATGCATAAGATTTGAAAGGCAATTTAGAAACATGGCCCATGCATAAGTGGGAGGTGATGCGTTTGGGTGTAAGATTTGGTTGGCAATGGTGTTCATTACGTTTTTGTGAGACATCTCTTGTGAGATTGATGCATACCATTTGGAATGAGAACGGATTCATTTTTGCTTAAATGGGAATTATATGCCTTCCTCCTGCCCATGCCCCTACTCTCTCTTCTTCATCTTCTTGTTTGCCCTCATATTTTCTTTCTTTTATGTGGTTATATATTAGCATATCTAATCTTGGTGACTGCCCAATATACATAATTATACATATGATTTCATAGATATTAGTGGCCACTGTTATGTTTTAGAATTGATTACTTACATATATAGTGATATCAATTGATGGCAAGAAACTTGATGTCATGCAATTATTGAAGTATTGGTCGCTGTCCTTCTTTCTTGATTGAAACTATAACTTTTTACACACAGATTTGGGAATTAGTAAAGCCAGGGTTGTTTGGGATGATTTAAATGAGTACACTTTTTTACTTTTTATGAAATATGGGTTGGGTTTGAAGTGATGTGTTAGAGAGGTGATGTGACTTAAATAGGATAGTGACTTTTTGATTCTTTCCAAACATGCCAAACCAGCCCTTAAATCCATTTTTGTTTTAATTGTGAATGGGATATAAAGACTTCAATTTCTCAAGTAGTATGAAGTCATTGTGTGCTCAGATCTTCTTTTGATTCTTTACTACATCGTTTTCGCGCTAAGAGTTGCTATTTCTAACTAAAGACCTTGAGGTTCAGATTCAAGTAAATTTAGGGTGGGAAATTGGTGTATTATGGACTATAGTGGACAGCCTTGATTGAGCTACATGAACACCTCCAGCCATGATTTTTTTTTTTTTAAGAGGAAGCAGCCAGGGAATGATTCTTGTGGTTCATAACTTGACAAAAAGAAAGAAAATTATTTATTAAATATATAATATAGATTCTTTTTTTTTTAAAGAAAATGTTTAATTGACTGTGAATGATACCGGTGGCTGACAATGTGATATTTATTTGGTTGTGATTTTTTCAATATTTAAGCTGTATCGTTAAATACCCTCTTCATCATGTTGGGATTATTCTTGATTGTGCAACAGATGCTCTTGTACCTCTAAATTTTGTAATAACCTCTCAGTCCATTAAAGACTAAATTGAAATTTGTATGAATGTTCTTGGATAGATCTTTTAAATTGAATACTAATTGTTTGTAATCCATTTGATTGATTGATGCTCCTTGAATTTGAATGAGAATTTATGGAGCTTTGATATGGGTGGTCTGCATCTGCCAAATTTTTATGCTTTGCTAAAAAATAATAATAAAAAAGCTACAATGGTGTTTCTTAAAATGACACTATAATGTCAACATAGTGTTATTTGACTTTATTTAGCAGCGTTTAGTAAAACGCCTCCTATAGATTTTTTACCAGCATTTTAAAATTGCGTATAGTTACAGCGACTGCTGTGTCACTGGCGTTTGGGGTTAAAACTTCACTATAACTTTTCATGGCAATTTTTGCTATACAAGGCATCTTTTAAATGCAAATAATGGCCAAATTTCCTACACGGTGTGTTTGATTCAAGGGATTATGGGGAGATTATTTACTGTTCGGATTGCTTATCCAATGAAGGGGGATGTCCATCGTTTGGTGCAATTTTAGTCCGTCGAACATAGAGTCTGGCCGAACTCCATGTCTCTCATATGAGAGACTAAACAATCCTGGGGGGTGGGATTATTTCCACAAGATTAGTATCAATATCCCATGGGACTAATGTATGAAATGTCTATTTTACCCTCATACTATTACTTAGTAAACAATTGAAAAATAGTAAAATAATTTTTTGAACATTTATAAATTATTTTTTTAGTATTGTTTATTTAAAATTATATATTAAATAAAAAAATATAAATTATAAATTACAAGGGTAAAATAGTCTTTTGAATATTTATCATTATCTAGTCCGTCCAACCAAACATTAGATTCACTAAAAATAGTAATTTCCAGACATCTAATTCCATGAGAAAACAAACACGGGATACCTATCCAATCTAACTAAATAATTCAGGAATTCATATTCTCAGGATTCTAATCCCCTTATCAAATCCGTCCAATCAAACACACGCGTAATGTTTTGTTCTAGTCTAGAGTCGAGACTCCATTCCATGGAGTCATGGACCATATGCAATCACGCCTCTTTCAAACCTAAGCCATGTGAGCAGCGGTGCAAGGCCCTACCAGTGGGCTATCCCCATGTTATCTTGCCTACCCTTCTTGTTCTTGCATGAACTTAAATTTAAATAATTATCTCTAAACCTCCGTGCATTAAATATCTTCCAGCACAACACAAGTCTATCTTAGAAACCCTTTTTTCTAATTTCGTCCTAATCAGTTCTGCTAACCTTCTTAAAACAGAGTTTATTACTCATTATATCTTCCTACCAAACATCTTTCATACATGAAGAATGGATGTACTATAACTAAATCACCTTTTAAAATTGGCCCTTATCCTCATAGCTCTTCAACCATGAAGAACACTCCAGGAAGCAGTTCTCCATTTATCGATAGTCGATACTACCCTAATTCGATAGAAATACCCTCCATTATTGCCCTCATTTACACAAGAATATCAAAAAATCAGAAGTCGCTGTTAGAATCACTCGTCCTACAAATAAATTAATCCTTCCTTATTTCCATTCTTAACATTACTAAATATGCATTCTTAGCTGCCTTGCTAAACATAGACTAAAAACTCACACTTGATTCCAACAGTACAGTACTTGTTCGTCTTACCACTCCACCGTACATGTCATCGGTCATCTTCATTCAATCATTTTCTCCTGCATTTTCATCTCATAAACATGCAAAAGAAGAGGAATAACAAACAGACGAGCATACTTAAACTAAGATGACAGGCAGTAAAGGTACACTTCAAATAGAAGGCATATTCAGGTTTAATATCCTACAAATAAAATCTACAAAGAAGACATGAAAAGGGAACCAACGCCCTCACAGAATTCGACAAACCTGATAACTTAAATTTCTCAAACAAAGTGACAATAGCAAAACTTCTACATCAAACTAAGCTAACAACAGCAGCAAAGAAAGAAACAACAGGATATACAGAGAGCAAATACTACAATTCTAATAGTCTATAACAGAAAATCAATCCAAACAAACAACTTCAAAGGCACTAAACGAAAGGGTTCATGCATGGCAATGAGAGTATACTCCCATTGCAGCTGAGCATATTGTTATCTACAAAACATAAATACCACAAATCCATAAACAGTTAAACATGAAACACTAACATAAACAAAAACACAACAATTAACCAAACACCCTAGTCTTCTGTATCAACCAAAGCTATAATTTACCTTCCTAGAACCCTAATGATCTCATAGTGCTTCCAATACCAGTTTCGTCTGCTCACAACTCAACTCCGTCCTAATGATCTGATGACTTTATTGCTTCCAATACCACTTTTGTCTGCTCGCAAATCAACTGCGTTCGCTTCAAAAAGAGCTCGACTTCCTCAACCGCGAGCTTCTTCCACTTCTCCTCCAATTCTAACTTCTTAGGACCGCTAATCAGATGGAACCCATCCTTTAGAATCCCACCCTCCAAACTTGACTGCCCAGTGCTACTATTAAACCCAATTGACCGCAACACCCCGGCACTTGGCTCAACCTGCATCTTTGTTTCTTCCTTCCCACTATCAACCTTTGGCGAAGCTGCAATAGCTCTTTGACTCTGATTCTTCCTTGTTTTCCCATTAACCTTTGGACTATCAACACCTACAGAATTAGCTCCACCAAACCATATCTTTTTTGACAATTCATACGCTTTTTGCTCATGAGCCTTTGAAAAAGTCCGATCCTCGCCCATTTTACTCTTGCTAGCATTGTTCTCATACTTCTTCTTCAACCTCCTCACTTTTTCAGACAATTGGGTCTTGCTAACATCAATGTGCAGCGATTTCTTGATGAAATCATAAAAAGCATTCATATCAGCGAGTGGATCAGACCCATTTTTCGCAGTATATTCAATCATACCTTTCAAAATCACAATCTCATCCTCTTCACTCCACAGCCTCTGAAACAATTGCTTCTTCGTATCATCACCAGTCTTCTTGGTCGAGTCCTCTTGAACAACCACATCAGAATCCACCGCTTTCTTCCTCGCCCTCTTCGATTCCTGATTGCTGTTGTTCTCGCTCGGCGCAGGCCTTTTCGCTGGAGACTTCGCCGGACCAGGCTTGGATCTAGGTTTCCTAGTAGCTTTGGGTGGATCTTCTTCCATGGGTTTCGAAGCAAGAGGCTTGATGCGAGGATTGGTGGGAGGGGGGTCCGATTCAGAGTCCGATTCGGAGCCTGAATCGTCTTCAGATGAAGATTGGGGTTTTGGTGTTGAGGTCTGAGCGATCACTGGTTTCTTCAGAGACGATAGGGGTTTTTTTGATGAAGTGTTCTTGAGTTGGTTTTGTTCAGATTCAGAGTCTTCTTGATCTTCGTTCTCTTCTGATGAAGCTTCTTCTTCTTCCTCAGAAGATTGTTCTGGTTCGGGTCGACCGTTGTTTGCCATTCTTGTAGAGAGAGCAGGAGAAGATTGGTGAGAGCTAGGGTTTGAACAGTATCAAAGTAGAGAGAGAGAGAGAGAGAGGAGTTTTCAACCTTTTGACAACGATGCTTCGCACGCGTCTCTCCCTCGGGTTGTTTACGTTCATTGAGAATTTGAAAAGGTATGAAAATGTAAAATGAAAATAAAATATATTTATATTTATATTTTATTTAATTTTATATACTTTGTCCCTTCTCCTTTCAACTTTATTATTTATTTAATATATTTTTTAATTTTTTATAATAAAATAATATTTTTATTAAATAAATTCAGATACTCCCTCCGTTCCAAAATATTAGTCCCTTATTTCATTTTTTATTGTCCCAAAATATTAGTCCATTTTCAAAAATCAAGTACAAAAATAATATAAATTTCTTATTTTGCCCTTCTTTTAAATTAATAAATAATATAAAAAGTACAGTTATAACATTGATATTCTCTAAAAATATACTATCAAAAGGATAATTTTAAAAAATTAACTTTTTTTAAATGCAATAATTGTACTACCAAAAAAAAGTTAAATTTTCTAAAAGGAACCATTATTTTGAGACGGAGGGAGCACTTAAATCATTCCCATCAGCTCAATCTTTTTTCAACTCTTTTAATAAATCAGGGTGCCAAATTGTAGTTAAGTTGGGTTTGATTTGTTAAAAATTTGTTTGAAATTAATATTTTAAACATTTTATATATATTTATATTAATAATTTATTTGATATTTCTTAAATAAATGCAATTGACAAAAAATATAAAAAGTGAAGCTAATATTTTCAAACATAAATTGAAACAACACGCAAACAATTAAAATAATATGTTTTATTGAATTAATCAATAATACATAATTCGCTCCCAATCTACGTTAGAGCGGTACAATATCTTCAGTTTTAATCGGCATCCCCTTCGTCATTGCTCTTCTCGACTTCGGCTTAAAATACACGTGTTATCTTACAATTAGTCTATAATCTAATTTAATTAAATTAAATTAATTTTTTTTATTTTCTTAATCAATGTCAATAATATATAAATAGTTATGGAATGATATTGATTTAATTCCATAATAGTATCAACAGTTATGCAATCATATTTATTTCAATCAAAAGATTTTCATAATATATAATACCAAGGTATAATAATATAGATACAAATTCCATAATATTTATACAATTATATAAACAAAAAAAATTGACCTCTTTGAAGCTCAAAATGACAATACATTTTTCTCATATTTTGTAAATTATATAACACTCAAAATACATATCATTTTTTAATTCAACAATGCTAGATGATTGTGGCCACAATGGCTCAAAACTGTCAAAACGATGTCGTTTTGGCATGTTTTACACCTAAAACGACATCATTTTGGCAGTTTTGAGCCATTGTGGCCACAAAAATTGTGGCCCTCAAACATTTTCCTTTTTAATTAGTCCAAAATCTAATTTACATAAACGAAGACCTCGTTTGGCAAGTAATTTTTTTAACCAAAAAGTAAAAAAGTTACTTAAAAAAATCAAAAAGCCAACAACTCATAAAAAAAGTCAAAGATTTCCTTTTCTCTCTATTTTTTACACATTTTTTCTTAAAAAATCAAAAAGTCATCTTAAACATATTAATTTTTTTTACATCACATTTTAGCCAAAAAATTATTAAAAAAATCTGTTCCCAAACGAGGCCTAAATCAATTTTCAAATTCTCTTAATCATTGTCAAAAATATATTGTAATAGATTTTCTTAAATTTTGTGATTTGACATTATAGTATCAGTAGTTATAGAATGATATTTCCTTCAACTGAAAATTTCCATAATATAATTCCGTAATATATAACACTTTAAATACACGTTATTTTATAGAATGATTTTCTAATATATTTTTCTCATGTTTATTGAATTTTATATCACTTCAAATATTCATTTTATAATTAGTTCAAAACCTAATTTATATAAATTAAGCTATTTTTTTAAAATGCCAAAATCTTATTAGAATTATTTTCTTAAAATTTGTGATTGTTATTTCGATGTAAAATCACACCCTAACATAGCGTTATTGCTAATTTTGATTTCAGTAATTATAATATAAAATTTCAGAACATATTCAATACAAACAAAAACTTTCATAATGTATTAGTATTATTTCCGTCCCAGTTGGGATTTGTTATTGTAATGTAAGACGTACAATAAGGAAAATTTTATTTATATATAAAATTTAACTTTATAAAATGATGTGATAGTGTTATTGTTATAAATAAATACAATTCCAATAGTGTTTTTATTTTAAAGTGAATGGTCCATAATGAGTCACATTATTATGAAAAATTCTATTTTCACACATCTAATTAGTTTAGGGTATATACTTAATGAAATATTAATTTAATGACAATTATATCATAATCCAACAATATCTATAATATTATGTAGAAAAAATCTCTGTACACATTTTTTAAGAACAAAAAAATCTTAATATATACTTTTTGAGTTAAAAAATAAATAAACTCTAGTTTTTTTATTGTTTGCTTTACTCTCTAAGTTTGTACTCCATTGATTATATGGCTTTCTCACTAGAATCTACCATAATTCTTCATTTTTGTGATGGAAGAGTTGCAAATCAATGGAAATTCAATTTCAAATAATAATATGCCTGGTTACAACAAAAGCAGTTATGAAAATGTAAGTTTTTTTGTGCAAATTTTTTTTTCACGATTTTAATTCTATAAACCAATGCCAAAACATGTTACTTTTTTTGGATATCAATTGTTAAAATTATTAATTCTATTCAAAAAGTTCTAAATTTGGATTCGGAACTCAACTTTCAAATTTAAGAATTTATTTTGGAAACCAAATTCCAAATTTTTTTACATGTTTCGGAAGTTAAAAATCAAATAAACCTTTTTCATTTGGATAAGCAGTACCAAATAAGCAAAATTTTCAAAAAAAAAAAAATGAGAATTTATGAAAAATAAGAGAAAGATGGAGTTGTACGTCTTCAATGGAGTTTGATACAAAACGATGTTGTTTCAAGATTTATGTTGATACAAGTCAATGCCAATTAATGACATTTTCGATGTTGACTAGATTGTTGATTGAAGGAATCAATTTGATAATGTAACTGGAAATCAAATGAGATAGTTTGTTGTATAATCTGAAGATTCATTGAGCGATTTGCTGAGTGATTTCTTGTGAAAGATGTTGTTGTGTTTTCAAGATGGGTGGAATAAATAATGGGTCTACACTATTAATTCTCTGTGGAATAAATGATTTAAATGGTTTGTGTACAGAGATGTTAGTTTAGGGTATAATTGGAACATGTGAAGTGTGAATTGAGAACAAAAACATAAAACCAATTTCATAAGGGTGTGCATTGAGAAATTATGTACACAGAGATAAAAGAGTGTGTGATAAATTTCTCCATTAGTTTGTATAAAAATTACATATGAATTTTTTGTTTGTATAGTATTATTCTGTACATAAATGTAACGCGCCGAAAATTGGGCAGGATATATCTATTTATGTAACAAAACCCATCTGATAGACAAATATACATATATATAGCTAACTATTCCATATATCCATTCCCATTAAATCCCAAATGTCAAATACATGTTTTCACATCTTAATGCCTCAGTTCCAATCCCAAGTATGCATTTTACAACAAGTATGAAATGGAAACCAAACAGATAATAAGTGTCCTACAGGCTTACAAATTTATCCAAGAACATTCTTGGTTACACAAAATGGAGTTTCAACTCAACGCAAATATAGCCATAGGCTTACATTCAACAAATAATAATAAAACAAAAATGAAGCCTCAGCTCCGAGTCCTCTCAAGTCAGTGCCTTAGCGGAGGCATATCACCTATACCTGAAATGGTTTCCCTTATAGGGTGAGTCACATCCTAGTGGAGATATACTACACAACATATGGACCATGACAAGACTAAAGAGGAGTATGCTCATGCCATGCTCATGATGAAACAGTTCATCTCTCTTTCTATGAAGCATGCAATGTTGAGATGCAACAACAGATATAAAACCATTTTCATTTTAAACCATATATATTACATGAATACAGGCTCTGTGAATCTCTAGGTGAGTATCTGCAAGTAGGACCTAATGCACTACCACTGTCATTTTTATTAGTAAACTAGAAGGTTCGACACCTAACCGCGCGGTTCTATACCCTCTACCCAGATTCACCAAGTATTCATCTTTTCGCAAACAGATATATTTCCAAACATTTCTCAAAAACAGATACATTTCCAATGAAATGAATGTAATGCAATGTCCAATGCAACAAATGAGGAATGTGGTTCAATTCACCTAAGTCTCATGCATTTCTATAACAATCATGTCTATCCTCCACCGATAGCGCAAAACAGATATTTAAACAATTAAATTCCAAAAATTCTGATAAATACAATCTATTTCACATCTTATCAAATATGAACAACTATACTAGTTTTCATATCATAATCACATTCGGTAACCTCTTAAGGTCCATTTTTAACCGTGTCTGTTTTATTCCAACAAATACATTAAGCAAAATAATACTGTTAATGCCCAAGAAAATATCATTTTCTTTCCAAAATCATTCTCCAAGCATTATTCAACTATGACATCCTATTTTGATTAAAAGTCCCAAAAGTTAAACATAATTCCTTTATTTTCTTTAAAAATGCTCTTTTGGTCGCAAACTTGTAAAAATTTCAAAACCGATTGAGTCGAAGTCCCTTTTTGTTCAAATTTAAAACATAACTCTTTGATAACCTTACAAACATATTCCAAGTTTACACTTTTGCAATTTGGGCATCAACTCTTTATTTTTCTCAAAATTTCTCTTTTAAGCAATTAAATCACAATTTTTTTTTAAAATTCTAATTAAATTCTATAAAACCCTAACCTCCATATAATCAATTAAAAGTGTATAAAGAAGTGTAGGAAAAATCCCTACCTCGAGCCAAGAAGCTTTCAAATTTTTCGGCAACAAAAATTAAATTTTTTTGAAGCCAAACGACGCTTTTTCCAGCCTCAACGTTTTGATCCAAAGCACTACGGGTCAAAAATGACTT